GAAGAACAGAAGATACTTCTTGAAAGAAAGACCTACAGGAAAAATACAAAACAATAGAGGCAGACTAACTGTTATTACAAGAACAAGCAAGCTGCTTGCCCAGGAAACATCAAGGCAAGTGGTCAGGTACCCTCAGTGCAGGCCCCCTTCCAGGATTAAGACTCAATGGGAATACATGCTCTGATTGGTCACTATGCTCGTCACCAAAAGGGAAAGTGAGGGAGGAGCAGCAATGAGGCAGCAAGCTAAGCCCTACAATGTTCAATAGACTTCTGTGAACCCGGTGAAGACCTGGTTGGCCAGCAGTGTGGCAAGACCTGGGGACTCTTGGGCCCAGAGTCAATGACATAGCCACAGAGGTAGTCCTCTATGTGAAGTGGAGAGTGAAGTGTCCAGTGGATAAGAGAGGGCATCTGCACAAGAACACCCACACTTGCAGATAATACCCATTGACCTGGCTTCAATGACTAGATGATCTGAGCTCAACCAGAAGAAGAAAGAAGAGGGGAAAAAGCATAATCTGATACAATTTGATGAACCTGACCTACACCTATGGCTGCAGTAGCTCAAAAGTGGGAACAAATCCTTACAGCAAGAATCATTCCCACCCCCTCCACACACAGAGCAGACAGGGATGGGCAACTTGGACATTGGCTACCCAAAATGGGGCAGGGGTGGGATCCTACAAAGGCAAGACGTGACTGGCTTACAAGCTTTCAAGAGGGAAGCTAGATTCATAGGGCATGGAGGAAGGTAGAATCTCCACTGAGTAGTATACAATCTGTCTAGGCGGGGCTGATGAAATGAAATCCGGATGGATCTCTTGTGATACAATAGTGAATAATTGTTATCCGGACTGCTTGTGAGGGTTGGAATTGTAAAGGTAGACGTTTTTTAGCAAGGAAGGGAGTGATTAACTTTTCAGCCTAAGAGCGGAGGTCCCTGGGACCATAAAGGGAGAAGAGCGGAGCGCGGGACCCTACCCAAAGAAGCAGTGATGCCTGAGATGGAAGCAGAGATGATGACATGGAAAGATGGAGCAGCTGGGGACTTTAGACACAGAGAGGGAGAGCGACTGTGTGCTGATGACCGGGGGTGTGTGGGGGGTAGGACTGTCGTGTATACCCTTTGGATGGTTGATGATGCATGGAGGGGATTGTAACCATAGCAATGAAATTATATACTATAGGATGAATGTAAAACTAATGTTCTCCCATGTAAACTATCACATAATTCACAATAAAACATTAAAAAAAAAAAAAAGGAATCCTAAAAAAAAATTTTAAGAAGAGCATTATGCCTGTACATCTTCCAAAACAGATCTGTTCATTCTTCTGGAAGTCCAATACTCTTCAGCAACACCAAAATTCAAATACATGCATTATTTTTAGAAATAAAAATACTCTGAGCTATTACTAAAAATCAACATTTGAAAAGAACCAAAATACATACACAAAAATTTACTTAAAATAAGGCTGGCCAAACTAGACCTTGGGCAATGAAACCTGCTAGCCATAGTTCCTAGTTTGTTCAAATTAGGGAATTTTGTCTCAGGCATTAGCCATGCCCATCACAATGCCCAGCACATAAGAGGCATTAACTCATGGAAAAATGGAATTAAAAGGGGTCCATTAAAAATGAAAAAGGGAGAGAAGCTTTAAATTACAATAACAAAGAACTGCCAACAGTTCTTTGACCCTATAAGCAATAAATACAAGAAAAGGCAGAAGGGGAAACTCAAGGAAGTAGCCTGTTGTTTGAGGATGGCTTCATTTTATAATGGGTTCCCCTTACCACTCTTATCTTCATGGATGTTGTTGCTGTTGCTGTTGTTGTCCTCCTGGTCAATTGCCAATAAGCTCTGACTCATAGCGACCTTATATAGGATTTCCAAGGAGCAGCTGGTAGGTTTGAACTGCTGACCTTGTGGTTAGCAGTCCAGTGCTAATCCTACAGTGCCACAGAATGTGAGAAACAACAGTAGACAGAATCTGCAATGTAGCACTGTAAGATCATAGGCTCAGCACTTATGGCATGATGGATAAATAGGAAATGCTCTTTAACAAGCTCTTCAACCAAATATATCATCTTCTATATGTAAGATCCTAGTTTGTAGGCCCTGTTTCCTTACTTTAAAATTATAGGCAGTATCTCTTGATCATTTATCAACAGTAAGATAAAAGAAACATTAATAAAACAAATGTTATTCAAATGCTTTTCCGTTTTTTTGAAAATACAAAAGGCATAAAAATTCTAATTCGCCACCAATTTTGCTTCCCAGGAGCAGAAAACACCATTCATCAAAAGCAAGCCTTAACCCACAGGTTTATTTATAAATGGCTATCTGAGTTTCAACATCCAAATATAATAATACTGCTGCCGCTGTGTGTCATTGAGTCAGTTCTGACTCGATGACCTTGTATATGGTTTGAAGCTGCAAATCTTTTAGAGAACAGAAAGCCTCATCTTTTGCCAGTGGAGCGGCTGGTGGATTCGAACTGCTGACCTTGTAGTTAACAGTCCAACGAGTACACAATACTTTTTGCTATTGTTGTTAAGTGCCGTCAAGTTGGTTCTGACCCATGACGACCCTGTGTAGTGTTTCCGAGTTGTGGCTGGTGAGCTTGAACCACAAAACTTGCAGATCAAACCAACTTTGCAGTCCAGCACATTAACCCACAGTACCACACCAGGATTCCAATACTAGAACGGAAAAATATTAAAAATAACTTTTTGAGTATTAAATTAACTTTTCAAAAAATGAGTTAACATACATTTATGTTATCAAACTTTTCCTCATGAACCACATGAATCTAATTTCAACTAAATGTGGTTGTTGTTGTTGTTGTTAAGTACCATGGAGTTGGTTCCAACTCATAGTGACCCTGCACAGGGTTTCTGAGGCTGCAAATCTTTATGAGAACAGAAAGCCTCATCTATGTCTAATACAATTTTCTCCAGAGTTGAATTATTCCTCTCACATTAGAAGCTCATGCCATGCTACAAAAGCAATGTTTACAACCTTTAACAAAAATAAGTTTCAGCTGTTTATCAAAAATCAAACTAGTTGCAAATTAGTCGATTTCAACACAGAGACCCTGAGTAGAACTTCCAGTCCAGCGTTTAACCACTGTATGAGGGCTCCTATATAAAAGCCAATTTGAAAGGCTACAATCATACAAAATTTGTGGTGTTGTTGTTGATGTTGTTGTTAGGTGCCATCGAGTTGGTACCAACCCATAGCGACCTTATGCACAGCAGAACAAAACACTACCCAATCCTGGGCCAACCTCACTACTGTTGCCACACTTGAGTCCATCAATGCTGCCACTTGGCCAATCCATCTCGTTGGGGTCTTCCTCTTTTTCTCTAACCCACCACCTTACCAAACATGATCATCACAATCAGCTCTACTTTGAAGAGGCAGTTCTTCCCAGTGGCATTTTGAGTGCCTTCTAACCTGAGGGGCTCATTTTCCTGCACCATATCTGACATTGTTTCTCTGCTATTCATAAGGTTTTCAGTGACTGAATATTTATTCAGAAGTCGTTTCATCTCTCCTTCTTCCTAGTCTGTCTTTGTCTAGAAGCTCATCTGAAACCTGTCCACTGTGGGTGACCCTGCTGTTATTTAAAATACCGGTGGCATAGCTTTCAGAATCACACCAACTCACAAGTCACCACAGTACGACAAACTGACTGACAAACAAGAGGTAGTTATTAATAATGTCTTCAATAACCAAGAAGTGAGTGGATTTGAACTTCCAGTCCAGCGTTTAACCACTGCACAAGGGCTCCTGTATCAAAAATAAACCCACTAGAAATGCTACAATCATTCAAAATCTGTGGTATTGTTAAATAACTATTCATAATGTCTTCAATAATCAAAAAGTGTAGAAAATATTTCAAGAAAAGGCAGCATTTTATAGAAAAATTGGCTGGCAATGGCATCAAGACCTTTTTCCAAAACATAACTACAGTAAATGCAGCACAGTAAGGGAACAGATCTATGGACTTCAAATGAACAAAATATGCTTGCTCTCAAACCTGGCAAGAAATGCACAACAATCTAGAGATTCTGGCCAAGGAACAACAGCAATTCACATGAATAACATATTGTACACAATTCTTAGTCCTCTAGCAAATTCCCACACTAGAAGTGAAACCAGATCATACAATTTCTGGTCAACAGAACCTAATAACAAAGGAAAACAACTACCAATATGTATCAGTCGGATTCATTTCAGTGGACCTGGAAAGCAAAGCTGAATCCCAGGTTTATGGAGCCTCTACCTAGAATCTGGAAGGAGCACCTGGTAGTGTAGTAAATTACAAGCTGGGTAGTTCAAATCTACTAGCCAGTCCGCAGGAGAAAAATGAGACTTCCTGCTCCCATAAGCCTCAAAAACCCTACACAGGGTCAATATGAGTCGGAACCAACTCGACAGCACACATCCACCAATCAGAATTCGGAGTCCTGGTGTGGCACTGCAGGATAAGCACTGCACTACTGACCACAAGGAGCCCTGGTGTGGCCGCTGTGGGTTAATGCGTTGGACTGCAAGGTCCGTTTGAACCTCAAGGTCCGCGGTTCAAGCTCACCAGCCGATCCTTGGAAACCCTATACAGGGTCACTACAAGTCGGAACCGACTCGATGGCACTTCACAACACAGGAAAGGGGCACTTCTCCAACCAGAGTATTACAAACTGATGGTTCGCAATCTCCTTAAGAGTCAGGCTAGGTCCAACCATATTTCTAACAATTCCCTCAGCAGTCGGGTCAAGGTTCTCAAATATTCAATAAAGTGTCAGGCTAAAGAGACCCAGCAGCCACCTCGCGGAAGCGATACCTCCGAGAGACCGTGATTAGTAAGGCCGGGACACTGGTGGGGAAACTGAGGCAGGACAGAGGGGAAAATCAAGGTGACGAGGACACAAGGTTACCTCACGTCCCAATCCCTCACCCAGTGCTCGAAGTCAGCCCACACTACCCCCAGTACCTGTCACCGGCTGCGCAGCCGCGGCAAACGCGCCGTTAGTGTCCCCCTTCCTGCCCATGCAGGAACCGTGCTTCGTCCGCTACAACGTTTGCGACAACCAGGGCGGGGCGGCGGCAGCAGCCACTGCAGCGGTAGAAGCAGCGGCGGCTGCGCCAGTAAGAGATTGACACGAGCCTTTCCCCCAGCTCCACTTCCAGGCTACCCAGCAGTTCTACAGCCCAGGCCGCGTACCACCCCTTTACTTCCGCTTCCTAATAGCGAAGCTTAGACGACTTCCGTCTACCAAGTCTCGTACGGAGCAGCCCAGAGCGTCCAGTGGCCGCCATCTTAGATAGGAAAAGCGCTTGCTTCTTATGGTATTCCTACCGCTTAGGTGTACTGGGTCGCTATGAGTCAGAACCGACTCCACTGCACATAACCACCACCACCACCTCTTAAGTGTTTTCACAGGCTACCCAGAAGTTCTACGTCCGGGCCGCGCACCACCCCTTTACTTCGGCTTCCTAATAGCAAAGCTTAGATGGCTTTCGGCTACCAAGTCTCGTACGGAGCAGCCCAGAGCGTCCAGTAGCCGCCATCTTAGGTAGGAAAACTGCTTTCTTCTTACGGTGTTCCTACCTCTTAGGTGTCCTGGGTCGCTGTGAGTCGTAACCGACTCCACTGCACATAACCACCACCACCACCTCTTAAGTGTGTACTGTCGACCCTTTGACTGTAAAGTCCTGGGAAACTGCAGGACTGACAGGTTGTTGGTATTCAGTGCCGTGGAGTCGATTCCTACTCAGCTACCCTGCGTACGGTTTCCAAGGAGCGGCTGGTGAGTTCGAACCGCCGACTTTATAGTTAAAGTCGACCTTGCGGTTAAGTGCTTCATCCCACAGCACCACACCAGGACAGATATAATGGTGAAACAAGACCTTTTATCTGATTTGGACTTGGACGTCCTGTAGAGCTTGCTGGTGAGTTTGAACCGCCTACCTGTGGTTCCAAACCAACCTTGCGGTTCGGTGCTTTAGCCCACCGCGCCACATCAGGACTCGAGCTGTATAGGGCTTTCTAGGAGCGGCTGGTGAGCTTGAACCTCTAGCTTTGCAGTTCGGCATCTTAACTCACAGCGTCACACCAGGACTGCAAAACCAAAGAAAATCCACTGCCATCCAGTGGATTCCGACGTTGTTGGTGTTAGGTGCCCTCCAGTCAGTTCCGTCTGTTCCAACTCCTAGCGACCTTATGTACAACAGGTCCAAGGAAGCACGGCCTGGTCCTGCACCAGCCCTTCCTCACAGTTGTGTTGTTGCCTCTGTGTCCATCCATCTCGTTAAGGGTCTTCCTCTTCGATTTTTTATCAAGCATGATGTCCTCCAGGGACTGGTACTTCCTGACAACTTGCCCAAAATACAAAAATGAAATATTGTCATCTTCGCTTCCAATGAGCAATCTGGCCATTTTTATTGTTTGTTGTTGTTGCAGTGGTGTCGGTTGCGACTTACAGCGACCCTGTACACTTCATCCAAAACATTCGTTTGTGCTTCTGACAGTCCATGATGGAATAGTCAGTAATTTTCACAAACACCGGAATTCAAATGCATCAATTCTTCTGTGGTGTAAAACCATTGTCCAGCTTTTGCATGCATAAGAGGCATGGCATGGATTAGGCATTTTAAACTGACAATCTTTGCTCTTTAACATTTTGAAGAAGTCTTTGCAGATTTGCCCAATGCAATATGCTGTTAGATTTCTTGACTGCAGCTTCAGTAAGTAGTGAGTGTGGATCCAAGTAAAAGGAAGTCTTTGACAACTTCAGTCTTTTTCTACACTTAGGATGTTTATTCGTCCAATTATGAGGATTTTTGTTTTTCTTTACATTGAAGTGCTCATACTAAATGCTGTAGTCTTTGATGTTCACCAGTATTTCAGTTCTCTTCCCTTCCAGCAAGCAAGCATATGGCGTATGTTGATGACTATATCTCCAGTCTTGATGCTATGCTCTTTTTCATATAATCCAGTTTCTCAAATTACTTGGTCAGCATACAGATAGATTGAATAAATAGGGTGAAAGGATACAACCCTGATGCAGACCTTTCCTGATTTTAAACAATTACGTATCCCCCTGTTCTATTCTAACAATTGCCTCTTGCTCTTTGTACAAGCAACTCTTGAGCACAGTTAGGTGTTCAAGAATACCTATTCTTTAGAATGGTATCCATAATTTGTCATGATTCAAATGGTCAAAAACCTTTGTATTGTCAATAAAGTACAAGTAGACAACCTTCTGGTATTATGCTTTCAGCCAAGATCATCTGACATTAGCAATGATATCCCTAGTTCCATATCCTTTTCTGAATCTGACTTGAATTTCTGGCTGTTACCCTGTCGATGTACTGTTGCAACCGTTTTTTAATTATCCAGCACAATTTTACTTGCATGTGATATTAATATTCAATGATTTCAGCATTCTGTTGGTCACCTCTCTTTGGAATGGACACAATTATGGATCTCTTCCAGTCAGTTGGCCAGGTAGCTACCTTCCAAATGTCTTGGCATCGAAGAGTGAGCTCCTCCAGCACTGCATCAGTTAAAACATTTCCATTTGTAGTCCATCAATTCCTGGAGCCTTATTTTTCTCCAGTACTATCGGTACAACTTGGATTTCTTTCAATGCTATCAATTCTTGATCATATGGTACCTCTTGACATGGGTGACCATCAGCCAATTCTATTAATACTACAGTGACTGTGTTAGAGCAAGGGCATAGAAGGAAAATTGCTGGTGGAAAATACTAATAACAGGTAGGACAGGATATAGAAACCATCTCCTTGTTCATCTGAAACCCAGCTGGGTTTGTTAACCCTCCCTCCCCACTGACCTACCCAGTGGGTTTATTAACCCTCCCTGTTCAGCTGTCACAGAGTCCTGATTCAGCACTGTAAAATAAGCACTGGACCACAAGGTCATTTTAACTGCTAGGTTGTTGTTGTTATGTGCCATGGAGTCAGTTCCGACTCATAGCGACCCTACACAGGGTTTCCAAGGCTGTAAATCTTTACAGGAACAGAGAGCCTCATCTTTCTCCCACGGAACAGCTGGTAGTTTCAAACTGCTGACCTCGCGGTTCGCAGCCCAATTAGTAACCACTACGCTACCAGAGCTCTGCAAGGTAGGCAAATCAAAATCACCAGCTGCTCTTTGTTAACCATATTGTGCAGGATTGCTTTGAGTAGGAAACTACTCAACAACACTTTAACAATAATTCAGCTATCTGTTAACTTCGTTCTCAGCCAACCATAACCAGTTTTCTACCAAAGCACAAAACATGGCTGAATGACCCCAACATGGCATCTCCAGGTGAGACCTGGTTCTCGAACCAGGATCCTGACAGAGAGCTTAAGCACAGACCTACCCTGCAAAATCCATCTTGAAATCTTAGACTCCATCTAAAATCTTAGACTCAATATTGGACACCAGATGTGCACACAGCATGAGAGAGAACAAGGAAACAGCACAAAAATGGAACTATACAAACAAGAAAGCCTGCTCCTTTTTTGAAACCTGACAGAACTACCTCTGCAGTTCAACATCCCCCTATATAAACCATGACTTTCTAGTCTTCTGTACCCCAACCTGGTAACAACTCTGTGTATCACTTCCATTTACTTTCTTTTTTTTTTTATGTTTTATTGTAGATTATGTGGTAGTGTACATGGGGGAACATTAGCTTTATATTGTATATTATTTCATTGCCATGATTACAATCCCCTCCATGCATCATCAACTAACCAAAGGGTATATGTACCCCGCAAGCCTGCCCCTTGGTCGTCAACACACAACCCGTCTCCCTCTCTGGGTCTAGAGTCCCCAGCTGCTCCATCTCTCCACGTGGTCATCTCTGCCTCCATCTCTGGCGTTACTGTTTCTTTGGGTAGGGTCCCACACTACACTCTTCTCCCTTGATGATCCCAAGGACCTCTACCCCTGGACTGCATAGTCAACCACTCCCATCCTTTTGCTACAAAACGTCTACCTTTACATTTCCAACCCTCACAGTCAGTCCTGATAGCAATTATTCACTATTATACCACAAGAGTCCTATCCCCATCTCCTTTCATCAGCCCTGCCCAGCCAGATTGGATACTACTCAGTGGAGATTCTACCTTCATTCACGCCTTCTGGATCTAGGCTCCCTCTTGAAAGCTTGTAAGCCAGTCACTTCTTGCCTTTGTTTCCCACCCCACCCCCCCCCATTTTGGGTAGCCAGTGTCCAAGTTGCCTATCCCTGTCTACCCTGTGTATGGAGGGGGTGGGAATGGTCCTCACTATAAAGATTTGTTCCCTCTTTTGAGCTACTGCATCCATAGGTGTAGGTCAAGTTCATCAAACTGTATCAGCTTATGCTTTTTCCCCTCTTCTTTTCTTCTAGTTGAGTTCTGATCATCCAGCTATTGAAGCCAGGTCATGTGGGTATTATCTGCAAGTGTGGGTGTTCTTGTGCATATGCCCTCACTTCTTATCAGTGCACGCTTCACTCTCCACTCTAGTCTTCTGTGGCTATGTTACTGACTCTGGGCCCAGGAGTCCCCAGGTCTTGCCATACTGCTGGCCAAGCAGGTCTCCACCCATGTTCATAGGAGTCTATTGAACTTGGTAGGACTTAGCTCACAGCTTCATTGCTGTTTTTCCCTCACTTCCCCTTATTGGTGAATAATGTGGTCACCAGTCAGAGCCCATGTCTGCTCGTGTATTCCACTTCTGTTCTTCTAGCCACTCCAGACTGGCCTGCTTGTCCTTTCAAGTGGAGATTTCCCACCTCAGAAGATTCTGGATGGGGTTCAGGATACTTCCATTTTCTTTGGATGCTTCTTGCATCATTCATTATTTTGCCCATAGAATCCGTCAGTATTGCAACTCAAGGATTAAACATTTTTCTTCAGTTATTTCAGTTTGAGAAATGATGAATGTGTTCTTCCCTTTGGGTTTTCTAACTCCAGGTCTTTGCACATTTCATTATAATACTTGAGTTTGTGTTTTCAAGCTGCCCTTTGAAATTTTCTGTTTATAGTGGAGCACTATTTTCATTTTAA